TAAGTAAGTAAGTAAGTAAGTAAGTAAGTAGTAAGTAAGTAAGTAAGTAAGTAGTAGAGTAGAGAGAAGAGAGAGAGAGAGAAGAGAGAGAGAGAGAGAGAGAGAGAGAGAGAGAGAGAGAGAGAGAGAGAGAGAGAGGATCTTATGGATTAGATAGATCAAAATAGAAACCATAGTATAAGCTTTCTGAGTCGAACAGGCGCACCTTAATAAATAACCAGAGAAAATGAAAGAAGTAAACCAATCGTTGAAAGATAGAAAATCGAAATTCCCAAGAAAATCAAGGAGCTAGTGATGAAGTCAATAGGTCACAGTAAGAAGTAATGGATATCTACCCGCAAGGCTCCAGTTGATGAGAGAGAGAGGAACAAGTGACAGAAGAGAGAGAAGAAGAAGGGACAGAAGAGAGAGAAAATGAAAGAGTGACAGAAGAGATGTGCAGCGAGATCTGGAAGGAAAGCCACCTCCCCAAAATGAAGCGAGCGTTCTTTCGCTTTGAGAACGTATACTATGCTCCGGTGGGAGCAAACTGTATATCTACTCCCTCGGTCTATAAAAAGAAATTCCAATTTACATTCTCTGTGGGTTTCCTTGTTGCGGTTGAATGGAAATCGAAGGGTACTTTTTAGGAGGCTATCAAAATTTAAAAATTAAAAAAAATATTTTAAAATTAGACTTAAGGAAGTAAGTTTACAATACACTCCTACATGAGTATTGTTTTAAAATCCAGTAGGTGGATTGTTCACCCCACATATATCACTAAATCGGGGATCCAGATCGGTAAAAATCAATGACCTAAAATATATTAAAAAGTAAATATAATAAAATAAAAAATAAAGTATGGATTTATAGGGTCGAGATTTAAAAGGAGCTGAAAACATATTAAATAAGATTAAAAAATAAAAATAAATATAAAATTTGGGGCAAATGGAGCGAGGTCTAATGAAGAATCCGATTGGGACCCATACCATCCCAGAAGCAGCTTGGCCCAAACCCAAATCAAACCCGTCACATTTTAAAACACCATGCAGAGCATAGTTAGAATTTGCTTAAAACACGATGATTTAATAAAAAAATATCCATTTTTTAGAATGTATTAAGAACTTCGACTTTTGCAAAAGATATTCAAAAAATTGGATTGTTTTAATATAACCCATGTTAAACTGTATTTTGTCTTTTCTCAAAATAAACCATTTTAAAAACTTCCCCCCCCATAGCTTTATTAAAAATTAACATTCACTTCATTGATTTTATATATTTGGAATCAAGTTTAGAGATAAGAATTGAAAGTGCTATTAAAGTAAGAATCTTGATGTTACGAAAAAATCCATCAAATAAAATTTCACCAACAAATTCTCTTAAGAATTATATATAAAAAAAAACACAATGAATGCATTCCTAGAAAAAAATAATCTCTCAAAAACACCTGTATATCTCAAAGTAATAGGCAAAGTTACATAAAGATTTCATTGTACCCTCCCAGCTAATCCATCATATGATTTGTGTATCCACAGCAAAGCAAGCATTGCGATTGTATTTAATGAAAATTTGAACAAATATTTGTCAATATGGTAAGGACATAAATTTCTAGTTCAATAAATTGAAGGTATCCATTTATAATAACTGCAACTCATACTATTATCTCATGCCATTTTTGCATATTTGATTTTTTTCACCCTATTTTTTGATAAAAATCTAAAATATCCATGATTCGTTAACTTAATTTTTTTTGCTATTCGTATATTTTATCATGCTTTTTTGTTTCCGACTTTTTAGAATAAAACTTATGTATTAACGATATTTTGATTGGCCGATATATTGTGTCTCCCTAACTTGCTAACAACATGTGGGAGCATAGTATACACACTCGATATTCCGCTTTTTATAAATATCGTGAGCAACTTTATTTCTCATTGCCCCTACACTCTTACCATACTCAAATATAAAAATGTAATCTATCTTACCATCATAGATATAATTACTGAGGTAAATGTATGGTTAATAAACACTTGATATGCAACCGATTCAGTATTTACGTCATCATTATCATCATCCTCATATCCTTTTGTTCAAATATTTGGGGTCGGCTACACAAATCATAAATCACTATCTTGTTTTATAAATAGTCATACTCTCAGTAAAGACACAAGTCCCCAAATATTTTCTTACTACTTCCAACCATAACCATTTGGGTTTACCTATTGCCTTTTTTTAGCCTGTCACTTGAACTACCTCGCAACTCCTAATAGTTGTGGTCTTGAGTTTGTGCTGCACATGGCCAGTTCATCTAAATCTACTTTTTATCATCTTATCGTCTATTGGTGCCACACCTAAGTTATTTCGAATGTATTCATTTCAAAATTTTTCCCTTCTTATCAGGTTCTCAATATTTATGAACTTTTTGTAAAGTATTAAAAATCATAATAAAATGGTTGTATTCTTTTAGGAACTTAAAAACTATAATATAAAGGAATTTTAGCAAATATTTGAATTTTTTCAACATATCAGCTCAAACTAGCTGGTTTGTCGATCCAAATCGCCATCAATTTCAGATATGGGGAAGCCAGTTCGCCCAACCAATCCATATTTCCAAATACAAGGTCGATAGTATAGGACATTAAGATAGTTGATATTTTAAACATAATTTACGTGGATATTCCCCCAAATGTTTGTTCTTTTCCAAAATTTTCATGTGAATTTTAGTTTATTTCATTCATACTTGATATTTCAATCTTTATTCTTAAAATGCCACTACTCTAAAGTCAGAAAGTTACAAGTTTAATTTGAGACAACTTCAAGTTGATGTCTCAGACAATTTGAGAGGTTTCTCCTTATAGGTCTACAGTTGATAACTTTAGAACACTCGAGGTTGTTGAAAATCTCAAACACAACTTCAGACCTTAAGAATCCCAAACAGAGCCAATTTGGGGAAAAGTAAAAAATAAAATAAATAAGTATGAACATAAACAATAATTTTTTACAGTGATTTTTTAAATAAGTAAGTTGGAACATACTAGTGTAAATTTTTCCATTTTAAGTATATCGTAAAATATTTTGTACAACTAATGAGTAAACAATAGGTAAGGGCTCGTGGTTAGACGCATATTTATCATGTTTGGAAACAACAATATATCAATAAACCAAATTACCAGTAATAAATCGATTTAAAAAAAAATTGGAGGAAAAATTTGGGGCAAAAGTATGGTCCCCAAAAATTACCTTGGTTAAGTAAGCTTGAATACTTCGGAATTGGCTGAATTTTTTTTTTTTTTTAAATAATAATAAAAAAATAAAAAATCGGATATGCAAAAATATGGCATGTGATGGACTTATGATTTGCAATTATTGTAAAAATACATTGTAGCTATTGAACATTACTTATAGGGTGTGGTTTCTATAAGGTAGCAACCTTAAACAATCCAATTAAAGCGCACCATAAAAATTTATCATATCACGTAAATTTGGTGCAAAAAATTATTAGGATTATCTGAAAATCTATTTTTCATATCTAATTATAAAATTTTAAATTTTAAAAATGGTTAAAATCAAGTAGATCCATAAACATATGAAAATATTGAAAATAGACGGCCTAGATAATGTATTGCAAGATGCATTGTTTATGGGACTCAAATTTTTTTTTTTTTTCATATTCATATATCTCGATAACGAGATGATCAATTAGAGAATTTTTCAACATTAAAACAACCTTTTCCGATGGATTTTTGATGTGCACCTTTAATTCTACATTTTAAGTCCTTAGATAATTTTTTTCCTTAATTGTACGTCCACTTAGCATTTTTTTAAAAAAAACTGTTTTGATACACCAACAACGCTGCCTTCCCCGTCATGACACAAAACATAGAACGATTTTATTGGGAGCGTACCAGGGAACAATCAACACAACAATTACCATAACAATCAAATCGGAGCCTACCACAAAAATTTCATTAGAGGTTGTTTTGATGTTCAAATATCCTCAAATTGATCATCTCGACATCAAGATCTATTGACATGAGAAAAAACTGGATTTCAATTTTTGAAAATAATGTATTTTGTAACACATTTTTGGCCTGTCAATTTTCAAGATTTTCAAGTTTGGGTGCGGTTTCTATTAGGTTGCAACCTTAAATAATCTAATTAAGGCGCACCTCCAAATTTTATTGTAACATGTAATTTTGGTATAAAAAATTCTTAGGATTATGTCAAAATCTATTTTCATATCTAATTATAAAAATTTAAACTTAAAAAATGGTCAAAATCAAGTAGATATATGAGCATCTTGAAAATGGACGGTCTAGATAATTTGTTGCAAGATACAATATCTTTGGGATTCAAAATCTTTGTTTTTTTGCATATTCATAAATCTCGATGTTAAGATGATCAATTAGAGGGTTTTCCAACATTAAAACAACATTCTCCAATGGATTTTTTAGGTGCATCTGTAATTCTACATTTTAAGGTTGCAATCTTATATAAACTTTTTCCTTCAAGTTTTCATAGATATGTCAATCTACACTATTTTTGAAGCTTTAAACTTTATAAATAAAAATGAAATTATATTTTAAGGCTATCACAAAGATTTTTCAGTATTGAAACTATATTTCTCGATACTATTTGAAGGTAGGCCCTAGTTTGATTGGTTAGAGCCTAGGCTCTATACAAATCGCACGCAAAGAAAAAATACCATTGGTACAAAATTACAATTAAGAAAACCATAAGAGCCCTTAAATGTAAAATAGTGGTCGTATTGAAAATATGTGTATGCAAATCCATATCCAAATATTCAAACGGCACCCCTATTCATCTCTTTCTCTTTACAATGGTGCTCTCGGGTTAAAGAAAAAGAAGATTTCTCATTGAGTTATTTTTCTTCTAACTCTACCTATTATTTTGAGATATACAATTCTTATAGGGATACATTAGCATTGTCTTTTTTTTATATAATTTTTCAAAGGACTATATTAGTTAGATTTTTTTATTATTTCAAGAAATTTAAGCAATTTTAATGTGCATATCTCAAAAACAATTATTTTAGAGATATCAAACGAAGAAGACAAGTAAAGTTATATCAAAAAGATTTTTTAGAAAAGTTTTATGAGAAAGAAAAAATACATTTTTATATCAGTTTTATAAACCGTTCTAATTTTTGAAAAATCTTTTGAAAAACTCAAATAACAAAAAAAGACCGAGTTTTGTAAAATTCGTTTTTTAGCGAGAGACTCGCTAACCGTGGTGACGCGGCGCCACAACGCGGGGGCTCTATTGCCTTTGCCACGAGCAGGGGAGCCATTTTTCAAACACTTGCACTCAGTAGGTAAAAATCATTTATTGAAGTCCATTTATATGCCCTTTAAAAAACCCTAGAAACTTAAAATTTGTTCATGTTGTGGTTATGGCCCTGTGTGCCATTTCCCAGTCTTATCTGATCATCCATCCCCCTGCTACAAGCCCTAATAGTAGCAGCAGTACTAGGGTGCGATCCCTCTGCATCAAAGTCAATCCATTGTTCTTGTCTCATAATTTGAAGGGGAATAGGAGAGTTATTAGGGCTTCAGCAGTTGCAGACTCAGAGGCGACAGTTCCATTAATCATCAAATCTTCTTCTGAATCTGAGCCGCTCTTGAATCCTTTGAAGGAGGAGAAGATTGAGTTTGATCTGGGAGGAGGAGGAGGGAGCAAAGGGTTTGGTGGAGGGGGAAGAGGCGGCGGAGGAGGAGGAGATAATAACGGTGGAGGAGAGGAGGGGGAGCACGAAGGCGAGGATTCATCGAAAAAGAAAATGTCGATGTCTCAGAAACTGACCTTTGGTTATGCTGCTCTTGTTGGGTGTAAGCACTCTTCTATTGCTACCTTTTCCACTTGCACGTCAAGGAATTTGCTGGAATCTGTTATGGTTTATTGAATATTTTTGTGTCGTCTTGAAGTTGCTTTTGTTGTGATGTTGGTTACTATTTAATGTATAGCATTCATGGTTGTATTATACGAGATCTATTTGGTCTCATTATGATGCTGTCTTGGTGAATTTCTATGTGCTGCTATTAATTAGGCTTTCATATGATCTGATTGTTTATTTATGATGCTGGTTTTTATAGTGGGATGGGGACACAGCTTTATCTTTCTTTTGAAGTTTTCGATTGTGATCATCTTTGAGCGGGAATCTGGTTTTGGTCGCACAAAATTCAGTGTTACAACAACAAAGAGTGTTCTTTGAGCTATAGGTCCACTCTAATGGCTAAACCGCATGGCTTTCTTTATGATGAAAGGGTTTACAGCAGCTCATTCTCTGGCGCTTGAAATTTTCAACTTGTTATGTGTAAGATGATACGCAATTTGCAAATGCAAGTTTCACGCACTTGACTGACAAAAATGATAGAGAGCCTCATAACGTCCTATGTGACCGGACATTGTATCTTTAAACTTGGTGGAGAGGGATGAGACGGGATAGTGACTAGGGATTGGACGTAATGATTTTATGTTTCTGTTTTTTTTTTCCTCTCCTTTTCTTTATATGTTCAAGGACTTTGGTAATTTGATAGATATCATAAGCTGTTGAGGTATTTTTGGTAAATCTCAAGGATGCATAGTTATTAGTCGTTTTAACACCACCTGATTGATCGTAAAAATCATTGGAAGTGCCTTTTCTAAATATGAGGTTTCTTATATGCTGAATTTACTATGAGCCCAAGTTTTTTGTGTTGCTATAAGTAGATAATTCTACTTTGTAACTGATTTTTCAACTTTACTTTGTATGGCTGAAATGATAAACATATAACTGCAATCCTTATGCTTTGTACATTTGGGGCTTAGTGTGGCTAGTGAAATGGCCTGATTCTTCCATTTGTGCTGTTTTCAAAGATGTATGCTTGTGAAGATGACATGCTCAAGTGTTTGTTTCCTCATCAACGATAGCTTCTATGGTGACTATCAAGAGAAGAATAACCTTAAAAAAAAAAAGAAAAAAAGAAAGAAGAAGAAGTCATTGTATACTGAAGATGACCCACCCAAGTGTTTGTTTCCTCATCAATCATAGCTTCTATGGTGACTACCAAGAGAAGACTAATCAACCAAAGAAAAAGAGTCATTGTTTACTTGCTATATGATGCAGCTTTTAAAATTAAACTCTAACGTGACAATCATCATCATCATCATTATAGCCTTTTCCCAATTGAACTTTAATGCAACAATCTAGAATCTAAATACTGTGTTGGTTGTTCTACTGGCAGTGGGTGGAGTCATGGGCTATCTAAAAAGTGGCAGCCAAAAGTCGCTTGCAGCTGGGGGTTTATCTGCGTTGTTGCTTTATTATGTGCATACTCAGCTTCCAGTAAGGCCAGTCCTTGCATCAACATTGGGTCTAGGTGAGAAAGATGCTGCTTTCACTGTTTGTTGTATAATCTAAATACAATCTCATTTGTTCAAGTTTCTCTCTCTATGTGACACAAAGGCGCTAATATAATCAGTTCTTCAGGTATATCCGCAGCACTTTTGGCTGTCATGGGGTCACGCTTCAAGAATTCAGGGAAAATATTTCCAGCAGGTGTCGTTTCTCTTGTCTCATTGATAATGACTGGTGGCTATCTCCATGGAATCTTTCGAAGTTCGCACTGATGTTATTTAGCTTTGCCAAAAAGGATGTGGTCGAGGGTCAAGGAACACTCATCTCTCTCTCTCTCTCTCTCTCTCTCTCTCCCTCTCTCTCTTAATCTTGCCTTTTTTGTGCTCTGCCAATATACACCTGGGACATTTTCTGGAATTTGAAGCTGATGTACTGGATTGTATGCGCTGATAGTGAGTTTCTTACTTTAATAATGGTACTAAGGTAGCAAGCTACACTAGTTCATTAGTTTGTACTTTGTATTGTGGCAGTTTTGTTGATCTGTAAATTACTCTAATAGTTTTTTGTTTTGTTTGGTGTTCTGAATGGTTTCCTACTAAAATAAATGATTGTTGTCATGGAGCTACAGAATGCTTACCATATATATTTCTAGGTAATTAGATCTATACACTGGTGTGGATGCATTAATATATCCATGAGTTGCTTTCTGATTCATTTGTTAGCCGTTTAGATTGAAAGAATATGTGGCGATCAAATGAAGACAAAAGAATGAATGGATAAACTTTCTACATTTCCTTGTGGGATCTGCTTGATGACTGTGCAGGATGCTTGATCATGTTCTTGATGGTCCAGGTCTTCTGTTTTTAGCTTCAGTTGGCCCAAGTGTTCTTGTTCAATAAGCACTGTTATGTGTTAGCTCGATGATTGATCAAAGATCAGTTCAGTATATCCTTGAGTTGCTTTCTGATTCATTTGTTAGCCGTTTAGATTGAAAGAATATGTGGTGATCAAATGAAGACAAAAGAATGAATGGATAAACTTTCTACATTTCCTTGTGGGATCTGCTTGATGACTGTGCAGAATGCTTGATCATGTTCTTGATGGTCCAGGTCTTCTGTTTTTAGCTTCAATTGGCCCAAGTGTTCTTGTCCAATAAGCACTGTTATGTGTTAGCTCGATGATTGATCAAGGATCAGTTCAGTATATCCTTGTGGGATCTGCTTGATGACTGTGCAGGATGCTTGATCTTGTTCTTGATGGTCCAGGTCTTCTGTTTCTAGCTTCAGTTGGCCCAAGTGTCCTTGTCCAATCAGCACGGTTATATGTTAGCTTGATGATTGATCAAAGATCAGTTCAGTTTTAGTCCTTGGCAAATCGAGATAGGGAGAATAAGCTTCTTTGTGATTCTTAAATCAACTTGTGTATCAATATTTATGCCTTCTATTGCAGCCATACACTTCTGTGTGATTCTTAAATGAACTTGTTTATGGTTAGTTTTGTTTCGTTTGCCCTTAAAAAGGCAGCTACCCAGAAGCCACAAGTATTATTAAGGGTAGTGGGGGAGTTTCAACCTCCATGTGGTGGACCAGCCCCTAAACTACACCGAGATATAAAGGTTGGAAAAGCAACTGGTTCTTATAATGCACATCTTCATCAGTTGCATCCAGTTGTTTCAAAATCCATCCTCCCATGTTTACTATATCGGAAGTCCCAATCGACAGGGTAATATGCTTTTTGCATGTTATAAACATCTCTACTGATGACTCCCTCTCATCTCTAAAATTGATGCATTTATGAGAAGACAGGCACTATCCATGAACTCCTTTCCCCAAAGGCACATTGGCACAAAGAAATAGCCATCCCAGTATCTCCTCATTTCACGAGGTTAAATACCTTGTCAACAATCATATCCCAAGTACTAGTAGGTTCCAAGTTCATCACCTCCCCTTTCGTTGGAATAATGAGCAATAAAACATGGACCCTTATTAGTTTCTTGATTCCCTCCTTCCTCGGCAACAAGATTCCCACATTAAATCCTTACTCATGACTTCCTTATAATCTTGATGACAGAAGGAATGTTATTGGGACTAGAAGCTTACTAATGACTCCAAGTACTTCCTCCTCGAAGCTGAGCTCCAGCTGAAACACCAAATTTTGATGAAGAACATCCATCCCCATGCAATCAAACCTGCTTTGCCTATGTCGACTACCAATCCAAGGAAATGAAGAACGCCCCCTTCAATAGAAGAGAGCTCTTCGAAGAGCCCCATGTGGAATTAACAGTTTTTCTTTTTCACATGCCTTCATATTGTTCAACCCTGGACTTGGCTTTTCACATAATCATTATTGTTTAGTCCTCTAAGAACTCTCTTAGCTTTGCCTGCCTATTTATCTTCATTTGACGAGGCTTCACGCTCTTCCTTAATCTATGATTCAACAATGTCATGGAGAATCTTGAATCTTCGAATATTCTCTGTTAGGTATTCCCAACTGATCTTTTTAGGAGTCAAAAGTTTCCTGAAAACCTCAAGCTAACTCAACCCTGGACTATCAATGAGTTCATGGATTCTTAACCAAGTCACTTGAGGCGTGAATTCTCTAGAAATGTGTTTTCAAATCTGAACAGGACCAGCATTGGCTCCAAGTACGGAAGAATGGTCAGAGAACGACAGGAGGGTTTTCCAGATGACTTCCGAACCTGGTCTATCAGTTGGGTGCAACTGATAACTTCCCAGTTTTGTCACGTAAGAGCTCTATGTTGGTAGTAGCTTGAAAGCCTAAGCAATTGATCGAGTTCGTAACATGCAGTACTGGTAGATCATCAAAGGAAATTCCTTCAATTTATGTCAAGAAATGTACCCTGGCCATCCCTTCTAGTACCTGTCTGTCAACTTTCTTTTCAAGAAGAAATAATGATGCTTTGTTCATTTTGTATAACTTCTGATATGATTTAAGTTTTTTTTATGTTTACTTCAAAAGTTTGCTCATTTTCTCAGAATATGAAGGACATCTGAAAAATATTATGATTTCTTAATGCAAGACTATATCTCATGTCATATCAACTTCTTTTTTTTTTACAATGTTATGAATTTTTATTGCTTAAAAACAGATTACATAAGGAAAAGTTTATATAGAGCTGAGGCTCTAAACAATCAAATTAAAGCGTACCTCAAAAATTTCACCGAAAGAGGTTGTTTTGATACTCAAATATCCTCAAATTGATCATCTCGACGTCAAGATGTATAGACATGAGAAAAAAATGGATTTCAAGTTTTGAAAATAGTGTATTTTTTAACGCATTTTAGGACCGTTAATTTTCGAAATTTTCAAGTTTTCATAGTTCTCTCAATCTACACTATTTTTGAAGCTTTAAATTTTATAAATAAATATATTTTAAGGCTAGATTTCCAGTATTGAAATAACATTTCTCGATTCTATTTGAAGGTAGGCTCTAATTTGATTGTTTAGAGCTTAGGCCCTATACAAACCTCACCCCATTACATAAAGCTCAACCAGTACATAAAGCTCAACCAATAATGTGATTATTTACAACTGTTTCAGGCAAAGAAACCCACCTAATCGTCCGCAATTTCATTCGCTTTCCAGTACACATGATTAATTGAGATCAAAACATGGTGGCATAAATCGACAATCTCAACCCATACAGAGTAAAATTTCCAAGGAGGCTTTTTCACAATCACCTTCCACCAGACATGCAACCCCTTCAAAATTTTCCTTGATACTTCTCAATCCTTGTAATATACTTCGGAATTCTGCTTCATTTGAACTTGCAGTCTCACGAGGCCCTGCATAAGAAAGAAGAGCCCCTCCGCTCGCATCTCTTAGAACCCTTCCAAAACCTGCCAGCCCTGAATTTCCAAAAGAACTACGATTGAAGTTATGCTTCAAACAACCCTCTTTTGGGGGGCACCATCTACCTTTTGGTCTCAGCTTCTATGATTTATTTAAAATCATATTTTTTAGATTCATCTAAATGTCAACCTTTGAAATACCCCTTCTTTCTTTTGAGACAGAGAACCCAACTCTACACTCTGAATAGAATAGCCTCTTTTATATTTTATACACTTCGGTTTTTCTCTTCAAAAGTTTTATTGTTTTTTTTCTTCCAAGCTTCCCACAAAATAGCTTCTCAAAAAATAACGCCCATAAAATACGACCGTATTTAGGTAAACTTAGAACATCCACTTGGAGCAATAAATCCCCATATCTCCTAAGCAAAAGCATATGAATTCCCAGCTTATCAAAAGCCCATTCCCAAGTGAAAGAGCAATCTCACAATTCTCCTCATCTTCCTTACAAAGAATATATAAATTCACCATTGTAAGTTTCTTTTTTTTTTCTTTTTTTTTGGCAAATTGTAGTTTTTCCCTAGAAGAAGCACCCATAAGAAGGCTTGAACGTTAGGGGGACGGGAATTTTCCACACTCCAATTATAAACCTTGAAACCTTCTTTGTGCTTGTCACTAAACAACAACCTTGTTGGCGGAAAAAATTCCATCGTTATCAATCTCCCAAATCACCTTATCTTCTAACTCTCTCGCAATGTATACATTGCTAAGTTCGTGTGATAAGGCCGCAAATTCTTCCTCCATTCTAACCGTGACCCTTCCATACAAGAAAGGCAAAAGCCAAACTTGAATATCATTTGTTAAGGAGTAACAATATACGATCTTGGCTGATTGATCCAGTGCACACTTGCAAAAAAGATAGCTTTTCTTTGGGTAAGTTAGTGGGGGAGAATGTCCCTACCCGTTTTTTATCAACAATGAAAAAAAACTATAGCTCATAAGTTTACAACCTTATAGTGCAGTTGTACCACATCATGAAGTAACACAATAGGGAGAAAATCCAGCGGTCTAGATCGCCAAACAGTCGCATCTGAGAAAGCTGTGGCTTTCTTGATAAGAATATCGACCACCATATTGGCCTCGCGATAAATATGGGCTATGGTCTAAGTACGACCTAAAACTCATAAAGACAGTTAACAACAACAATATTGAGCTCTCATGGAGTTTTGCATCGATCACGGATTACATTAACTAATAATGACGAATCACCCTCAATCTGTAGGGAAATACAATTTAACTGAATGACCAGGTCTATTCCTGCTTGTAAGGCATAAAACTCTACATTGTTATTTGATGCTATATTCCCAAAGGATTGTCAAAAGCTGCAATGAAGGAGCCAACATAACTTCTGATAATACTTCCACCACCTGCAAACTCAAGATTTTGAAATGAAGCCCCATCATCAACATTCAATTTGAAATGATTTGAATGACGAAAAGACCATGTAACTGGTATGGGGTTTTTTATTTTTTGGTGGTTGTCAACAATTTATCTCTTTGATAAGCGAAAGGACCAGGCTTTAGCATCCGCCATCTCTCTTATATGAGAGATAATTCTCCTAAGCAAGTGTTCCCTTTTAGATGCCTTCTCCTAGAAAACTTGATGATTCTATTCTTCCAATAACATCCAAATTGTGGTGAAGAATAAGGACAATCAAACATTCAGTAGACTTTATGAATTGAATTTGAAGGCAATCCAGGTCCTAAGCAAAAAAGTTAGTTGCAAAGTACTATTTCCTAGCCATTTATTGTGCCAAAAAGAGATGTTATTTTCACTGCCCAACACCCATTTTACATTCCGAGATACTACCTCCCTAACTTGCATGATCCCCTTCCAAAAATCAGAAGCCAAATACATCCTTATTGAAAAACACATAATGGATTCCCTTGACACCCCATACTTTTCTTGCACCACTAAATTTCAGATTTGATCTTCACAATGCTAAATTCTCCACCATCATTTTGCTAATAAAGCTTGATTGACCAACTTGAGTTTCCTAATTCCTAAACCTCCCTCCACTCTTCTATTCATATTTCCCCATAAAAAATTCCTCATTAACTTCTCAATTTCTTTATACATCGATGCACAATTCCTCATTAACTTCTTCATTTCTTCTTACATCGATGCAGGCATCATTAACAAAAACATCAAATAAATTGGAAGATTAGATAGGCAAGACCTTACCAAAGTGATACGCCCACCCAACAACAATATTTTGTTCTTTCAAAGATCAAGTTTCAAACAAATCCTCTTGAGGACAGAATCCGAAACTGCTATGGATAGTCTGCGATCTGAGACGGGCATTCTGTACGTTATAAGGAAAGTATCAATTTTACATCCAACCTCTCTTGCCAAAATTTCAACAAGTTAATTATAAGAATGGTGCAAGGGATCTATGCAAAAGCAGCTCTCAATTACAATAGTTATTTATGTTTCATTTCTATATTTCATAATGAGAATGATCCTATAGGACCTTTCCCCACCTATGTGTGTAGGTCCACAAAGGATTACTCTTAAATTTGGTACCGATCTATAGAATGGTCAAGTCCCACACCCATGTGATAATTTAGTCTTTTTATTTATTTATAAATTATTATTTTTATATTTTTTAGAGATGCATTATGATGAGAAAAATGGAACTCTATAGAGGAAGAAAAGGATAAAGTTGAGGGAAAAGTATACTGAAACTATTGGGAAAGGTTTCTATACTTCTTCCATTGCATAGAAGATATATGCTTTCCCCCATCCAGCCGTCCAATTTAAGATCAAGTGAGCCATTGGCTGTTTGATTAGAGTATTTTATTTTTATTTATTTATTTATCTAGAAAATATATGAATATGAAATTTGGTACGTGCCATCATCTAAATGAGGCGCATCTAAAAAAATATTAAAAATAATTTTTTGATAAAATATAATGATCAAAATACCCCTTGAAACTTTTAGAAATATTTTGGTTATTTTATTTTATTGAGAATACTTTTATAATATTTTTTACGAGTGCGAATTTAAGAGACGAGTGGACGCCCCAAATTTTGTGTCAAAATGGTTTGTAAAAACATTTTAAAAATAAAATACTATAGAGACGTGACATTGTGATTGAGGCTATCTCATCCATTCATTCAGAATGGATTGTTGGATAGGGGAAGCATATAAGTTATATGCAAGAGGGGATGCATAGAAACCTTGTACAAAACTATTTACCTTTGATACAAAGTAGTCAAAATTAATCTTCACCAGTGGATGTGAAATTTGTTGGAAATGTGGCTTATTAGGCCATTTTTATCCCGAAAATTCATATTTTCAATAATGGTACAAAAGCCATATTGAAGTATATGTGAAATCCCATGTAGTTAACATGAGGCAATGCTATATACATTGATCCATTTTTTAGCATTAATAGGATGTATCACTGGCGGGAAAAACCCAGTATTACTGGAGGGAAATCCCAATGGTGTTTTTGTATTCTTTGTAAATTGTGGGAATGCTTAGATGACATCCTATTATATGAGTCATTAGTGGACTAATGACATGTTTAACTCATTACATAGGATTAACAGTTTGGTGACACCTTGTTAATCCTAATTAGCTGCACTTAAGGGAATTAAGACAAGAGTTACACTTGGATCTTAACTCCTATAGACCATGAATGTGAGAGCTATTAAATAAAGATGTTCTTTATAAAAGGTGGTTAACCCCTCTAGAAAAGATAGAGAATGATAGAAAAGAGGTGAATGAGATTCACTAAAGATGGCTCTCAAGGTTGTTTGTCACCGGATCGCTTGGTCTATAGGATTTAGTATGGAACCTTAAGTCACTCGTATGATTTAATGACAGATCCGAGTAAGTAGTTTATCGATTTCAAATTTATTTATTTGTTATTATTTTTATTGGGACTAACAAAATTGGATGGCTGCATTTATTCCATTGACCAAGCTCAGACTTCAAAAGATATTTCTTGAACTTTGTGATACACCTAAGCGATCATATTTTACATCGGACACAAGTACTTGTGGCCTTCTTGTATGAAAGGTAAATGACCTCGTTGTATACAATCCCAAAATTGAAATATTAAATGTGATCTTAAAAAATGGGAAAAAATTTACAGAGAGTCAAGGCTCTAAAATTAGAGCTCACCTCAAAATTTCACTAGAAGAGGTTGTTTTGAAGCGCAACTATCCTCAAATTGATAATCCCAACATCAAGATGCATGAATATGAGAAAAAAAAAGAAAAAGACTCCAAGTTTTGGAAATAGTGCATCTTGTAATGTATTTTTGACCGTCAATTTTCAAGTTTTTATAGATCTACTCGATCTACACTATTTTTTGTGCTTTAAATTTTATAAATAAAGATGAAATATATTTTAAGGCTATAATAAATATTTCCAATATTGAAACCACATTTCTCGACACTATTTGAAGGTACGCTTTACTTTGATCGTTTAGACCCTCGGCTCTATACAAACCGCACACTAAAAAATGACATGTTAAAAAAAAGCAATTGTAATCTTAAAAAAGGTACAACATAAATAAAGGAGAATAAAATATTGGGTTACGAAAATTTCCTTGTTGAACATCATATTTTAAACCTTCACCTATGGCGGCCTTAGTTTTAAAACATGTATATTTTAAAACAATATTTTTCCTCACTACACAATAAAACAGAAGATTAAGAAGCCATTATCGCACCTGTTCAAATGCACAAAAACAATTAGACACAAGAAAACAGAATATTCAAATACTATCCCAATTGTTCAAATGTACAAAAACGATTAGAGATCTACAAAGCACCACAGTGCAGTCCGGGCCACGAATTGTGGCCCTAGCTGGGCTAGGGCAAGTGGAGGCCCGATTCTCCTTTTTTGCCCGGGCCTGTAGGACAAGGCCCTGTATGGGCCACCCCTTATAGGGACAAGGGGTGGGCCGGGCTGGGCCAGGGCTAGGGCTCGCTTGGCCTAAGCCTGGACCGTTGCGACCCTGGGCACCACAATTGCCATTTGATGGAAAAAACAAGAGGGTGCTACAAATATATTGTATTTTAAAGGAAAGATTCAAATCCTACATATAAAGAAACAATTATTATTATTAATAACAATCACAATAGTTCATTTTCGAACTTCCTGGCTCAAAAATTGTGATCCAATTGTGGTTAGAGACTGCCCTAATCGCGCTGTTCACCACAATGGTTCCAATTGGGGTCAAAATAACCGCTATCAAATAGAAAAGTGCTACAGTAATTGAAGACGGTTTCGAAAAACGCATCTTCCAAAAATCAAACATGTATTTAGTGTTTGCTTTATTAGCAAAACCCGATTGCACACGCGTGTACGAGTAAGGTTAGCAGGTCATTTCAAGAAATTACCCACAAAACCAATGCGGTTATTGCATCCTAATTCTAAGAGGGTGATCATCCGAGATAAGCCTAGTTTGTTTGGTTACTTGTTCTAACCTCGTCTTTTATTTGGCAAAAGTAGGAGGCCCATCCCTTTTTAAATTTTTCGATGGGCCTCTTGTTTTGGGACCTTTTGTTAGTGACCTCCAAAATAAATTAAACTATGAGCTCACAATATCAAAATCGCCTATGATTTGCATTGTGTATAGCACTATTTTTAACAACTTTAATAAGTGAATTATTAAAAGACTTTTATATCTAAGGGATTCCAAGTGAAGTTTCTAAGCAGTTTCCATGATTGATAAAAAAAAAAAGTCCCAATCATTCTCACTCATAAAATGTCAAATTAGATGGCTCGAAATGAGCCACAAAATCCGATAAATTTTTTTTTTTTGGAACTTTGTGTCTATTCAATGACTCACAACCATCCATTTTGAATTTTAAAGGACAATGGGTCGGGCTAAGCCTGGTCTAAGCCTAAGTCCAACGAGTCATAGCTCTAACTCGGGCTTGGCATGTTCTAAAGGAACAGCTCGAGGCCTCCACTTTTTATTTTGGCTAACCATGCCAGAAAAAACTTGCAAGACCTGGACCAGGCTCGGGCAGACCATGACCGTGCCGGTGCTAGAGTGGGCTTAGTCAAACTAGGCTAGGCCGCTTGGCCAATTGCCAGCCTTAGGTGTGGCACCTGGTTTTGCATGATGGATGTAATCAAAGGGTTAAAGTTAGAACCTCAGACTTTGTCCCTCATGCAAACATCTTGAATGACTCAAAAACCACAGACAAGAAAAATAAATCTGAAATGAGAGAAAATGGCCAGATGAGATAAACCAAAAGCATCATAATCATAGACAAAGCTTAACTATCATTAAGCCCAAGTCCAAAAATAAACACACATGTATATATACCAAAGTTAGGTCCTGAGTGTATATGGTAAATGGTATAGTAGAGTGAACATGGGCCTCCATCACTAATAGGAAGTTCCACGAGATAAAAAGCCAGAATAACAACACAGCAAGTCATGAAAGCTAATAAAGGAAGGAGTGCTTTATATTAGTGGGAAGATGGGTCATTATATATCATCAGGCAAAGTTGGTGGGGGGGATTGGAGATGGAGAGGTATGTTGAGCCTCATAGGAACAGCCCACATGGGGGGATAAAGGGTGAGTATTGCTCATCTTCTCCTTTTCATTGTCCATTACCTCCATTGCCTCCTCTGCCTGTGAACCAGCACTCCCGGCTTTCGACGCCGAAGGCGAAGGGTACGGACTCCTACTAGTCAACCTGCAAAACCAATACATCAACCATTTGTTTGCCTGCTACATGTGGTTTCAAAATCACAATTTGCCGTTCACTGAAAATACACGGCTTTTGTGGTCAGGATAAACATGCACTTTTCGTTCTCATCCCATTCAAATTCACATGGGGATGACCTTTCATAGGTGTGTGCATACATAAAAAGGAAAAATAAAGGCAAATGGATCATCTCCCACAGCTGCCCCAAACCATGGTTGAACCTAACGGCAAGAGTCTTCCTGAATTGATCAAGAAAAAAAGGGAAAAGTAGGAAAATGCCAGTGTGGTTTTTTTTATCTTTTTTTGGTGACAAACTTCAATAATTGAACCACAGCCTCCCAAGAGAAACCAAACCCTGCCACTAGACCTAAGGCCAAGGAATTCTAAGTGGCATAAGAGGCTAAACGGTTTGAGTTGGATTGTCCCCAAGTTTAGAGGTTGGAGCTCCCTAATTATAGTTATCAAGATTGAACAGGACTGCTCGGTTGGACCACTAAGTACTAACTTAGATGGTCCGGACCAAAGCAAAAACTAAGTTTAGTTGAAAAATAGTAAAAAAGCCAGTTTTAATCGATCGATAAATATAATCTAGTATTTTTTCAAATATTATTTAGGCTTTTAAACTATTAATTCCATTTTTTCTTTATTTTTTTTGAAAATTTAGTTCAACAAGTTTAACTGACAGTCGCATTGATTTTCACTAAACTAGGCCGCTCACCGATTCAGATCCAATCTAATTGATAACACTAAATAAGTTCTAACTATTGAGGTGGGCCTTGGGTTCATTAAAAATTAACCTGTACCCTTTAGGACAGACTGATGCACATCACACACAACCTACATATGGAAAAAGTTTAGCATGCGCCATACTGATGGACCTAGATCTTACTGTGATCCTCAGTTGTCAGATTGGATCGCCTTAGAATTGTCAACCATCCGATTAACGAGTGAAATGCATGGTGGACTTCCCCTCAAATTCATGGAAAAAAAAAACTAGGGTTTTTAAAGGGGTGAAGAGATTAACCAGGATAGTCACGGGGTTCACAACTTTTGTTAGAAAAAGCAGTTTGGTTGGAAAAATTGAAGAGTTACCCTCAATTTGTCGTCAGCAATGATGCAATATGGCCAACATTTATTAATCATAAAATGACATAAATAAATAACAAGAACGGGTGAGGGTGAATTTTTTTATTTTATTTATATACACGTGAAGAAGGCAGGCCAAAACTGATTTGAGGTTAGGTCAAGGGTTTAGTCCTCCAAGTGTAAAGCAAGGGAAAACTCACATGGTCCATGTCCCATTTTGGGGCCTCTTCTTTGACCAATTATCATTTTTTTTTTCAACTATTTGAAGTCGGTAGTCTTGAGACAGTCCATAAGAAAATAATTTGCGATAGAACAAGCAAATTTTTTTTTTTTTGTATCTTAGGCAGCTAGATCAAGCCTTTAAGAACTCGAAATCAATTTCATTTTAGATGATTTCTTTCGCGACAAAACAAATCCACAAAATGTGCAGTCCACAAACTTTTTTTTTATTAAAATGTGTTTCTTAGGTTTCCCTATAATTTTTCCTCTACAAGAACTCGAAATCAATTTCATTTTAGATGATTTCTTTCGCGACAAAACAAATCCACAAAATGTGCAGTCCACAAACTTTTTTTTTATTAAAATGTGTTTCTTAGGTTTCCCTATAATTTTTCCTCTACAACATCCAAAAGAAATGTATTTGCCAAATTTGGGGCCAAATCAACCACAAGCACCTCAAAATGGAAAGGATAGTACAAGGGAATGTATTTGCCAAATTTGGGGCTAAACCAACCACATGAACCTCAAAATGGAATGGATCAGTGAAGAGGTCCCGCCCTAGGGCCCAAGCCCGGACCTTTTAGACTCCTCCCATGTTTTTCCTTTTCTTTTGAAAAAATATCTACATACACCCTAGTTTGGTAATACCATTTAAACCTAGGGTTTTAAAAATCTACAATCTAAATAGAAGGAAAGAAATATTATTTGGAATCCTGTGCATGTGCTGTCGGAAAGTTTTTGAGAAATAGTACAACAAAATAAGGTGCACGGAGATATTTGCCCTTTTCCTTTTTTTCTATCCGAGTCGACTCCTCTTTTTGGCCAAAATAGGGTGTACGGTGATATTTTTTCTTTTCTTTTTTTCTATCCGAGCCGGGTCCTCAAAAATAGGGTGTACGGAGATATTTTCTCTTTTCTTTTTTTCTATCCGAGCCGGGTCCTCTATTTGGCCCGAGGGCCTATATGGCCACTATGAGGACCTAAAAAGGAAAAGTAGGGTCCAAATTATCGGTCACGTGTTGCCAAAAGGTCCACATAGCGAAAGAAAACCGCCCCCTTTTCCATCATCTATCTACCCTTTCACGAAATTGGCTAAATTTCGCCAAATGTTTGAATGCATTCAAGACACCAACGAAAAAAAGAAAGAACGTAAAAGTGGGCCTTTCATTTAATTTAATTTAATTTAATTTCTCTGATGGCTTCAAAAAAGCACAGCCACAGTATCCATTGACCACACTCTCTGCAAAGAGTCCATGGATAATTGTGCGAATAAAAATATTAACCAATTTTTGAAGAGAAAAGCTTCAGATTTACTCTTAATTAAGTTAAAAGACAGTGATTAAGCTGATCATCAACTAAGAGAAAATGAAAAAAACGGAAGATTGCTTTGAGAGAGAGAGAGAGAAAGATAATGTAAACTCTAGGAGGAAGTCAGTGTACCTGTCCCTTCGTTTCTCAAAGAAACGCTGGAGTGAGTGCTTTCTTGCAATGGGGAGTTCTGCAAAAGAAATGCCAACTTAAACTCAATGAACAAACACACCAACCATTTCTAACTCTCAAAATATTCATGATGATCATTCACACTCTCAAAATATTCATGATAATCATTCACCAGAGAAACCAATCCAAACATAAACAGGGGAGAATCAAGAGAAAACCACCACCTTCTTTTATTATCAAAGGAGCCATATTCATATAAGATCAACCACACCAAACCAATTCAACATGAGAATTCCAAACCAATTCAGCATGAGAATCTAATAACAAAAGCACTACAATCACCGGAAATTTTTAAAAGAAAAAGCATGTCAAGATAAGAGATAAAAATGAGAGGGACTTGCAGTGACAGAGAGAAAAGCCTTGCAGGAAAGCCCATTATGAACATAATCACATTGTATAATGCAATGTTTCAAACCTAATGATCTGGATGGGGAATCGTTGATATGGACTGGGAATTGGCCAAGACCGAATCGGTTCCGGGAGCTATTAGTACCAGCATGGTCACCTCTCTAGAACCCCCATTTTCTTAAATTTTCTTTAAGCTTTTCTAATGTTTTCTTATGCCCTCTCTAAATCCCCTCCATAAACCCCTAATTTATTTTATTTTTTTAATATTTTTCTCAATCACCGATTTGGACCGACCAAACCTATTTGGATCAATAATCGGGCATCGATTTGTGGGTTGGACGATCCAACCGGCTGATTTGGGTTTTGAAACATAGATATAACATAAGGAGTAGCTCCTTAACTCCTATAAATCTTTATTAGAAATTAATACAAACAGGTAGATTTCGCCCACAACCCTCACTATGCAGTGGAAAAAAGATAAGGGTTCTATAATGTACCAGATTGAAGCTTGGCTGGAACAATTTGAGGTTGAGGAGCTGCAGAGGTGGTGCTATGAAACGAAGGGGTCCTTGTGAGAGCAGGTGGTGATGAGGAAGACACATTTGCAGACTTGAGCATGCTCGGAGTCTTGGCACTTGCAGCACCAGCAGCAGCAAAAAGCATTATAGCTTGTGCCTGCCATGGTAATAGTTTGGGTCTCATATAAGAATGAGATTTTTATTCTTTATTTTTTAAATACTCCCTTTTAGGAGCCAAGAATGGTTTTTCCTTTGAGTTTTAAGCAAGGAAGACATTGTATGGTTCATTTTTCATTTTGTTGAAATTGTGGAAGTGAAAACTGACCTTCTCAGGTGGAATATCATCGAAAACATTCACAGATCCATTGTAGAAAATGGTGAGCTGCGCAGGAGGCTTGGCATTCATGGTTGTGGACCTCACAACAAGAAATATAGATTAATTAGCAAGAAATAGTCTTATCTACTTTTGATTTGTTTGGCACAAAAAGAAGAAAAAGATGAGAAGATCCCCCGAAAACGTAACCAACAACAAAAAAAAATAAAAAAGAAAAGAGAAGATACAGGGCACTCGCAAATAGAGCACTCTCTGAACCAAAGACACATCTTATCTCAGAGAGGGCATTCTCTTTTAAGTGATTTTTAAAGGAATTCCCGGAGGTCACCCGCCCCTCCCAGTACTACTCTTGCTTAAGCAAAATTACTCTTGCTCAATAAGGCTTGAGTTCCGAGTACTTCGGAGGTCTGATTAGGAGGTTAACCCTCCCTAATATTAATCTTGACTACGAGTTCTGATGGGTTCCCGTGCATACTGCATTTTATAATCACGATTTTCCAAAAATACAAAATTCAAGGAAGTAAGCCCTAAACCGAGTGGTCCTGATGAAAATCAGTGGAATAATGCAGTACTGACCTTCAGAATCCTTCCAAAAAGGACAAAGAAAAAAACCAAATGCATTATTGACTTTCAGAATCCTTCAAAAAATGACAAAGAAAAAACCATTTGTTTCAACAAAATCATAGTTTGTTGTATATTCTACAAAATAATGGCGGGTAATAAGAAACTGCGAACTTCTTGTATATTATGCAAAACAATAGCCGGTTGTAAGAACATGCTAAATAGAAACTTACAGTGTGGGGATCTTCAAAAACCCAAATGAACACAAGGTAAAACCATGTTCACAGAAAAATATAATGAAAAAGTACAACTAGTGATTGTGGAATTGAACCTAACGTTACGCAGAAGAAAATATTTGTAGAAATATAGCTGTTTACGTGAAAATGCCAAGAAATGAAAAAAAATATAGAGGGACACTTAAGAAACCCACATTGACACCAGAAATGAGAAAAAGGGAGAGTGGAGAACCTTCAAAACCCAAATTGGCACCATAATAAAGCCATTTTTACAGATTAACATTGGATTGGTCAATTGAAGAAGAATTCGAGAAATGAAAACATGATCACACAGTGGGGAAGGGCCTTCAAAACCTAAATTGACAGAAAAGAAGGAACCAACTTTACCCGATAACAAAAGAAAAAGAAAGGTGGGGTGGGGGTGTGTGTGTGAGAGAGAGAGACAGAGATACATGGTGGGGGTCTTCAAAATCTAAATTAGCACATAAGAGAGACAGAGATACATGGTGGGGGTCTTCAAAATCTAAATTAGCACATAAGAGAGACAGAGAGAGATATACATGGTGGAGGGTCTTCAAAATCTAAATTAGCACATAAGAAAACCAAATCTACAGAAGAATAGGGGGTCTTCAAAAACCGAATTGGTCTCGCCAAAAACAAAGCCAAATTCAAGAAAAAAAAATTCTAATGATCCATGGAAATGAAAATTGAGCAAGGGAAAGTCATGGGAAAGTGGTATTCTATTTCTGGCTCGTAAAGTCAGGGTTTCTCGCTCTATACCCAGAATCCCATGGCTTCTCTCTCGACCCATCTCCCCAAAAATTGAGAACTACACCAAAGGTTAGAGAGAGAAATAGAATTGAAGGGGCAAAAGAGCGCGAAAAAAAATAGAACAAGGGGCGGCGGGTACCTGGTGCCCTGAGCGTCGCCATCTTGGCTTTGCTTCAAGAAGAGGGCAAGTCGAGCGAGCGCCTCCCTTATCTCCTTCTCTCTGTCGCCAGAATCAGACCGTTTTCCGGCGCCGGCATTACAGATTCCGGCCGCCTCTTCATTCTCTTCCTGCTTCTCCGCTCCCCCCAACAAATCCATTGCCACGCTTCTCGACATTCTCTCTCTCTCTCTCTCTCTCTCCTCTTTCTCTCTCTTCAACCGCTCTTTCTCTCTCTTACTACGGCTACCCGCGATACCTCCTCTTTGGAGAAGGAAAATGGTCTCCTTATTATAACT